CTTGTGGAACAATTATAGGAGAAGGAACACCCAGAGTAATTAAATCAAGTTTCACCAGCAGTTTTCATTAGATATTGTACCTGGCCATGCATCACCAGCATGGAAGATGTTTTTCTCTGAAATACACTATTCCCTTTAGCCAGCTGCATTTTAGCTGGGTTTGTTCTTCCCAAGCACACAAAGTGATTTTTAGGGTGACATTTATGGACATGGAGGACAGACTGCTTTTGAGCAGATGTTTGTGTGAATGCCACTGATCTTTAAATTTCTTAAATTTATTCATTGAGTTCATTATTGGTTTAAACAGTTGTTCATTAACTTAAATTTCCAGCACATTTCTGAGATTTTTTTATATTACTACCAACATATGAAAATATTTTTCTGGTTTAGGCATATATTATAGAAATAATTAACTTCATTAGCGCTGATGATAACAATATTCTGATGATAGAAATAACACACATAAAGGAATTAAGTATTACAGCATGATTTAAATTTCCAAATGAGAATTATATAAAAATTATTTCTTAAGTTCACCTGCAAAGAGTTCTAGTTTTTCAGCATTTTTGTGATGTTATTTTTTAGGAAAACAAATATATCTCAAATTGCCACACCCCATTCACTATTTCAGATGAACTTCGCTTGCAAAAAGCATCCAATTAATTTTATTTTTTGTATTTAGGCCTGACCCCATTTTATACCATCAACCGTAGTATATAAGACCAACTAAATGACAAGAAACTCAAGCACTTTTCTGGTCACCACAGTGGATTACAGATTGCCACTCCAGCAGTGTTTCCAACCCTTATTGTGACAAATCGATACCAGAATTCAGCCACCCTATTCCCATGACAAGTTCTAATGAAATTTTCTTTGCCAAGAGTAATGGTTTGTGCCGCTGGAGAGTGACCAGGCCATTCATTCAAATATTCAAGGACGGCAAGAAAGCCTGGTAAAAAGAAGGAAAAACAAAACAAGGAGGAGCATTCTTGAAGGATGCAGGGAAATTCCAGCTTTTGTGGTGTTGTAGTTTGGGCAGGCTGGCATCTCTCAAATTCAAGTTTAGCCAAAACGCTGGAAAAATGAGGAGCCTGTGTTTGGTGCTTTTTTATTTGGAACAGGAAATCAAACTTTATTTCCAGTGAATCAGCTAAACTGTGGCTGAGCTGATTCCACGCCTAGAAGGGGAAATTAGGGAAGTCAAAATGAGGGTGTAAAAGTTGGTTATGAAGTGATGGCAGTGAAGTAATAGTTGGATTCTGATCATAATCCACTGACCATGAGAAGTTTATTTCACTGACCATGTGAAATACAATTATGAAATTGTAATTAAGCAGTAAAAAGAGCAAACCTGATAGGATTTCTCTCCTACCATTTTTGTTTAGAAAACCCACTAAAAACAAACAAAAAGACTGAATTGTTGGTTTTGGTGCATTTTGTTTTGGGTAGTCATGTATTCATGATATTATATCTAATTTAAATTGTGCCTGTGGATGGGTGTCTGTGCACAGACACTTTCATGTTCCTGTGTTTCATAAAAGGCAGCACCAGTGGGAGAAGCAGATATGACCACAGCCATCATCTCTCTGGGTGCTGGTGGGACAGGCCAAAAATCCTCATTTGGAGTTGTTGTAGCCACTGTGGTTTTGATCAGTTGGGTCCAGCAAAGGTGATGGAGAACTCCTGTGTGGGCTCACTCATGGCAAGATCCAAAAGACCACTCCTGTGACAATGCCAGCAGGATATTTAAGAACTTTTGAAGCAAAATTATCAACTTTACCTGGAGTAATTTTATATCCCTTGTGGGTTTTTCTCCAAGAATTTAATTTGGTGAATGCAGTAAAAATTATTATATACACAATGTATCCATACATAAATGAGAGTTATCAGTGTTTCTCCAAGAAATTAACTAGGTGAATCCAGTAAGAATTGTTATATGTACAATATATCCATCCATGAATGAGAGATATCAGCTGTTGAGCCAGGTGTTAAGTGCACATGTAATGTCAGATTCTTCTTTGACACTGACTGAGGATCAAACCTGCAGTTGCAGCTCCTTGACACTGAGCAAAATGTTTTTTCTTTTTTTTCTTTTTCTTAGTTCTTTACAAATGTGGAAGTCATGATAACCACAAACACCAGTCAATTATTCAATGTGTTGGTGAAGTACTTTTGACCTTTTCTTCTCCTCTGCTTACCTGCATTCCCTAGTGGGGCTTTTGGCCACTCATTTAATCAGTCATTGCTGTTAGACACCAGGGGATGATAAGAAAGAAATCATCACAAAGAAGCCACTATTTAGAAAAACACAGTGAGATTTGAAAACTATGAAATGCACTCAGAGAAGTATTTACATTTCTGTGCTTAATCTGCAGAACTTCCTTCTCCATGAAACAGAATAGTTGTGTTAGAAACAAAAGACAATAATTCTTTTTCTTTTTTTGTTCTGAAGTTCTGCTTAGAAATCTGGACTTAAAGGCCTTAAGTCTCACCATCCTACTACTTTCCTTTAGAACTTTGTATTAATGACTCACTGAATATAATTTGTGTTTTTCTTCCATTTAGAACCTTTGGGAAGTGTAAGGATAGCCTGTTATGGGCAAGTGATGAGCTAAGTGCTTATGGGTCTATGGCTACCAAAATTGTGAGCCCTAGATGTTGAACAATCTGGAAATTGCTTTTCCTATTCAAACAATCACAGAAAGAAATGTGACACATTCAGGTTGGATGGGACAATGAGAAAAGTGATCTGGTGGAAGCTATCCCTGCTTATTGCAGGTGGGACCAGATGGCTTTCAAAGGTCCCTTTCAATCCAAACCTTTCCATGACACAAAGATAAGCAAATCTGAATGTCTTATTCCTTTGCAAAGACTCCCTGGTCTTTACAAATGAGCAAGACATCCAGATTTGTCTCGCTCAAGTCCCTACATCTCCCTGAGCTGAAGGAAACCACGAGAGTAGGAGCAGGACTAAAAGGTGTGAGCAGATAAATGTTGCTGCTGCTGAGCTAAAGAGCTGGGGTTTCCTTGTGGCCATCCTCTTGCTCCTCAGGATCATCCCAGGCACGTGCCAGCCCCTCTGTGTTTACAGTTGATTTTGAAAGCTTTGCTGTTCTGTGCATTTGCCTTTGGACAGGATTCAGCCCTTTTCATTTGACACTTCAACTGTTTTTATCTTGAACTCTCTCATGAATTTTTATTAAGGAAAACTCTTGGGAGAGGAGTTGAAAGACAAAAACAGGGACCTGAGTGGCCTTCAGACTGAAAGATTAGAGAGAAACGGCAAAGCCTTTGGGAGAGCTGGGAACTCTACCAGGGGGAGCCTCAAAATGTTATGAAAATTGACAACATTGTGAGAAGGGATTCTTTGTGTGGTTCCCACTGCTCTTTGACTTTATCATGACTAAGGATGGTGAAAACTTGAGTTTTCCTTGCTCCTGTTTGTTGTCAAATTCGAGAAATAATGCTAAAGCCAGCAGAGGTAGGGCAGAGTTTTGTGGTGAGAGACTCAGATGGGACGTGGTGTCACAGATGGAGGCAGGAGCAGCCTGTGGAGAACTTGGCTGATGGATCCAGATTGTGCCACCAAAAAAACCTCATTCAGCTTTGACATTTTATAAAAACACAGCCTAGGGATGGAACTTTCATTGTGTAATGAAGAATCAGTTGTTAAAACAACAACATGGATTCCAGAGCTGTCTGAAAACTTTGGGATTTGGAGTTTGTTCATTAAGAGAGAAAAGTGTTATCTGTAGGATATAATTGCCTTACTGGAATGAGACATTTAATTCAAACAGTGATTCTTTTATAAAACTGTCATGACAACCTGAACACAAAGTAGTGATTGAAATATTTTTCAGTTCCGCAGTTCCCAATACACTACAAGTCTGAACTATTTTGTTGTTGTTAGGTTTTTGGTTGGTTTGTTTTGTTTTGTTTCCTTTGTTTGTGGGTGTTTGTTTGTTTTGTGGGGTTTTTTGTTGTTTTTTTCTCTTCCAAAAAGGGCTCAAGGGAGAGCTTTGGGAGATGGGGAGAGGATTTTTTTGACCTTGGTAGTAACTATGCTTGGAAAAGAGAGTTGCAGAGGCTGTGGGAGGAAGCAAAGGAAGGAGAGTGGTCTCTGGGAAGCTGCAGCTCCTGCAGGGAGAGCATTGAGCAGATCAGAGAGCAGGAGGGAAGAGGAAGCAAAGGCGTGGTGGGCAGAGCTTTCCAGGGGCCAGAGGCCACTGTGGAGAGTTCACTGCAGCTCATGACATGCTGAACTGCCTGAAGCTCAGATAGAAAGAAGATACAGAAAATGCAGCAGAAAAAGAAGTCCTGTATAGAAACTACTTTTATTTTTGTTCTTTCTGAGAGTATAGCATGAAGCTTTCTCTAAGAGAAAGAAAACCCCAACACAAAACATCCACACCAACAACCTACTAGCTCATATTTTAAGTTACACCTGGGCTTTGGTGTCTAATGGAAGTTATAAGCTTTTGGTGTTTATTGAGGGTTCATTACCTGTGGACTCTGTTTGCAAATTCACTTTGTTCTGTTTGATTGAAAGCCTGGGCTGAGAAGTGACTGAGTGTAGATGATGTCTATCCTCATCTATGTCTTCAGAGATATCACTGTATATATCTTTAGAGAAAATTCTCTAAAAACATTCCAAATGTGGCTTTTGACTGGTCTTGTGCAAGTATTTGAGGTAAATCAGACCTTGCTGAAGGCTTATGATTTAATCAGCTATCGGTTTAGGATTGTAGACACAGCTATTTAGGTTTATAACTTGTTTACATGAGTACAAAATCAATATGGGCTGTCTACTGCCACTGAAAAAAGTGCAGTAACCTGAAAGATGAAATGCATGCTTTTATATATTATCTCTAATTGCTGGAAAATATATAACGCTAAACTTAAAATCTGGTGGTTCATGGGAATTTTGCCTAGAGGTGCAGGGAAAGGGGGTAGCAACTGAATATCTGGAAGTTTTACTAACTGATCTTTTTCTTTTTCAGGAAATCTTGAAACTAGAAGGCAACCTTGGAATTCCAAGACAAAAAAGGGCTATTTTGGCGACTCCAATACTAATTCCTGAAAATCAAAGACCTCCATTCCCCAGATTAGTTGGCAAGGTAAGTCAACAAAACTGGATAAAATGTTGATATTAAGTAATTGATCTATTACTCCTATAGTTTTGCACTGCCTATCACATTGGTAGTAATATTCCAGATTTCTTCCTACCCTCTGTTCCTTGTGATCACTGAATTTTTGGATCTCAGGCAGCCTGAGTATCTCTGTAGAATTTCCTTCATTAATAATTTTTTATGGGGAGTTTAAGATGGGAGTTCTGGGCTCCTCAGGCACAAGGAGACAAACCAGGCCCTGTTTGTGCTGCAGTGTTTTCCTGGCATCTTGTCATCCTGATTTGTTCCTGTTCCTGAAGTGCTTCTTGAGCATCACCAGTGCCTTAGAGGATGTACAAAGACAGAAATGTGAGAGCACCTGGCAGGTTGTTTTTCAAAGGCCCTGAGAAACCTGTCCTCAGCTAATGTTTAAATTATAGGAGTAGCAAATGATCAGCACCTTGAAGATGTCATAATTTTTACAATCTTTTATAGTTTTGGGTTTTTTTTCAGCATAGCTGAAATTTAGGTATCCAGATTATTAATTTGGCTGGAGTATATTGCAAACAGAAAGAGAGATTATGCATATGTCAGGGGAGACAAAAGATTTAGAGGTATTTAAGATAGTGGAATGACATATTCTAGGTCAACTGTGGTAATTTGCAACTGAATGCTGAACAAAGCATAAATAAAAAAGTTTGGAGACTCAGATCTACTGATTGTAGGGAAGAAATTCAGTCAAAATCAATGCTGAAAAGAAAAGCAGTTATTTCAGGTCTTTTTGACTTGTCACAGATCTTCACAAGATAGGCTGTGAGGCCTTGCTAACTATAATGAATATCTGTAATAACTCAGAGTGCTGGTTCCTGTACCTGTTTCAGATCCTGCATTAGCTCATCTCCCTCCCTTAAATTTAGATATTTATCATAAACTGTCCATAGCTTCATGAATTTTTAAAAATTCACTTAGTTGCTCACTTCTGTAAAGTGTGAGGAAAGTGTTTATTTCCTCTTCCAAAATATGTTGGGGCTCATCTTCAGAGGCCTCTCAGGACACCACATGGACTGATGGATCACAGCTCCTGCTGGACATTGGTTTTTTGAACCTCAGGAATAAAAAACCTTTGCCATCTCTGCCCTGCTGTAATCCCTGCACAAGGACATTGCAGATTAATGTGGTTTCTGTGGTGTTTTGGGGAAAAGGCAAAGCATCCAGAGAATGAGTGATTTCCATGTTATAACAGAGTTTCTAAAATGAGAAGGAACGTGGAGCTTTCCTGACTGCATGGAATGGATGGTAAGGATAATTTCAGGTTTTTGACTTGTTCTGTGTGGTACCACCATGTGTCTGGGTGTTGACATGGAAGTCAGGTTTCCAGTGTGTTATTTTCCCTTCTTTCTTACTTTCCCTTACTTTCCCCTGCTTTAGCAAATTATCAGTGTGGTTTATTAATTTGTTCTGATTTCCTCTTGCTCTCCACCCCATGCTGTGCTGGCTGGAATTGCACAAGGTTGTTTGGAAGTGATTGCAGCAGCCAACAGGTGAAATGTTGATTAGCACTTAGTGGGGAGCAGGGCAGATGTGTGGAAAGAGGAGAGCAGGGGGAGAACAATTAATTGAGTTTTATTTCACAGTTAGGAAACACAACATAAGGGGAAAAAAATAGGAGTTTTAGAGGACTTCCTTCATGATGTTTTTTATATGTATATCAGGAAGGAGATACTGCACTAGACAAGTGAAAACAGTGTTTTGTTCAAATTAATTACAAAAATTTCAATTAGTATTTAGCTTAACAAGGAAGTACATGTGTCAAGCCTGTTCTCTATGCTGTTACTGGCTTTCCAGCATCCCCACTCAGGAATTGGATTATTGCCTTGCTGTTTCCACACCCTTCACTAGGGTAGCCCTTAATTAAATAACTATCCTAGGCATGCTGTGTTCGTAGGTGGAGAAGTCTCACCTTTTAGCAGGATTTAAGATTTTGCATATCATGCTTCGTGCCTGAGGGAGAACCCTGAGATTCAAACATTTTAATACAACCTTGGCAATGTGGGCCTTTGTGACCAGATGGCCCAGGCTACAACTCTTGACTGTTATTGATGTGTTTTGCTTAGCTCTTGCTGATAGAGCACTGGGATATGATATTCAGTTTTTAGCCTGTCTCCATATGCTGCTTTTCCGGTTTATTTGTCCACATGAAGGCAAATGAAACACAGAACAGTGGGGTGCAGGATTATTTTGTACTTCCACTGGCAGGTTATTCTCCACTACACTATGGAAATATTTTCCAAGACTAACTTAGAGTGGTGGTTCTGTGCATCTACAAAACAATATTTTGACACACTTTAACTGATGATGGTGCTTTTTGAAGTTTAATCCTCACACTAATGCAGACTCCAGGGTGCACAAAGGGAATTGTGGAGATGCTCAACAAGTCCCAGCTCTTTTTCCACACATCAGAAGAGAAGGACACCTGCAAAGTGAGACCGTGTTTATCCAGGCTCAGAGGATTTGCTCTTCATGCTATTGATGGAGGAATGGTGAATCAAGGATTATATTCTTCAGTTTAAAGGAGTTGTCCTGCATAAGAATGAGCATTGCAATTGTTGGCAGGTAAAATCTGGAAGCCATGAGTGGCCTCGTAAAAATTGGCTGAATATTTTTATGCTCAGTGAAGGGCAGAACACAGAAGTCTTTGCAGGAAATTATTGAATAAATCAAAATCAATTTTTTTTTCCCATAAGATTTTTTTTTCTTGTTGTTTTTTTGTCTGTTTTATCTTTTGGGAGGGGGTGTGGGGTTGGATCAGGTATTTTGGATCAGAAACTTTCTATACTTCCTGCCCCTGATCAGGCTGTTAGCTGCAGTTACATGGCAGGATTGACCCCAACAAAAGCTCAAGACTAGAAGAGGTTCAAGCTTGGAAAGAGGATAAAAATCTTTAAGATCTATGAGGAAGTGGTTTTTTTGTTTTTTTTTTCCCTCCTCTGAGATGTGAATTTAAGGCAAAGAGCAAATGCATCTTGCCTGTTAAAGCAGCAGTAGAAAAACACTTGAAGAAGGGAGGAAGCTGAAGAAAACTGGATGTAAAAAGCTGCTGCAAGCTGATATTTTTGAGTGGCTATACTATTTTTATACAGTAAATTGCATGCTTCATGGAAGAGAATTTTAATGGACTAAAGATGCAGCTGTAAAAAAAAAACCAAACTTCAGGCAAAAAACTGAAGTGTCAAAAGAGATGACCACGATCTCTCAGCCTGGGAAGAGAACCTAGAGAGGAGGTTTGTAGGTTAGAGGGAGACATGAGAAACACAAGAGAGGAGCAACAGATGGAAAAAAAGCTGAATGAAGAAGTTTTTTGGTATCACTGGAAAATTAAGCAGAAAATGAGAGGGAGTCTAAAGAGAAGTGGAGAAAGAAAGGATCTGGCCAGGATGGATGTCCAAGCCTGGAGGATAATGGTGTGTGCCCACAGAGAAGAGAATGATGTGCAGAAACCTCAAAACCTTTCCAACACCACGAGAGGGATCTGTGTCACTGCTTATCAGCTGCTTAGCTGGGAAAGGCCTGAATCCCAGTTATTGGCCTGAATCTTTGTTTCAGTTACTAAAGATGATGTGGAAGCAAAAGAATGTATTTCTCATAATGGAACTAGACATGGGGTCTACAGGAAACATTGCCTGGATTTTTAAAGATTAATTTTTTAATACCCCATTGTTTGTTTTCAAATCATCACCACATCGAATGCAATGGTTGTGCTGTGCCAGAGCATGGTCAGAAAACAGGAAAAAGTTTTGACTTATAATAATTTTGACTTGTCCAGAAGACAAGAATATTTTGGTGACAGCTGAAGGAGTAAATGAGGAACTTTTTCAGGGAGAAGTTGGAATTACAGAGACACAAGGAATTCTGATTCCTTGAATAAATCTGATGGCATATAAGGAGAGCATTCTGCTAAAGTGTGTCTACAATTCCATGTGGGAAAGGCATATCTACAGATGAGGATAAAGAAACAAGAAGCAAACAAGGCAGAAAAGTGAAGAGGTGGAAAAGGGTGTTATTTATGAATAGCACTTAGGCAATAAATAAATTTCTTTGAAATCCATCAAGAAACAAAGATTGGGTTTAGAGAAAAAATCAAGTTATAGTCCAGGTATGGTAAGATTGGGCAGAAATATATATGAGCTCAATTTGCTCTGCCTAGCACAAGCATTTTCTGTAAATCCAGATGATTTAAGTGAAAGGAATACACTGATGTAATAACTAATGCATATAAATTTTGACACAAGATTAAAAGTTTCTGGTACCCAGAGAAGAGGAATTAATTTCCACCATCAGTACTGAGGAGGGAACACAATATTTGATAAATATGTGATCGCAGTTGCATAATACAGCTGCTTCTGATCCTGACAGAACTGACACCTCCAGTTTTCCTGCTACTCTGGTGTTCCTGAAAATGTGTAAAACCCTTCTGGGCTGGGCCTGAATGGGTGGCTGCAGGTGCCAGGGTTTAACATCTGATTAAATTCATGGTTTGCATGGAGGAATGGCACGCTCCTGACCTTCAGGGAAAAACATCAACCTACCTCAGCAATGAAAGGAGCAGCACTCCATTAAATGAAAGGTCTTTCATTGCTGGCCCATGAATTATTAAGCTACAGCATATTAATTCTCATTAAAGGATAGGCACTTGATGTCCTAACAAACTATTAAGTGAAAACAGCACTTCAGATTTGTTTCTTTGTCTGAGAGGTGTCTCTTCAGCCCTCCCTTTTTAAGGAACACTGACATTCACATAAACAATTCCAACAGAACACATCTGTTTTCTTTCAGCTAATAGAATTTTATTGGGAAAAAATTGTTAAAATAGACCTGTTTACTTAAGACTTTCAGAAGAAACACACAAGTTGCAAATGCCTTGGAAAACTGGAAAACAATAATTTACTATTATTTTTCAGTGTTTGGTGTTGCTAATAAGAATAAAAGGATTTTAAAACATTTGGGGAATA